CATTTGTATTTGTATTTGTATTTCCATTATTTGTATTTGTATTTCCATTATTATTATTATAAGTTTCAATTTTATTTAAAAAATCATAATTTAAAATGGAATGATTTAAAATAGAATGTATAATAAAATTAGATAAATTAGATTGATTTGTAAATTTAGAATTATATTGTAAATTATAAAATAAATCAGTACATGCAACAATATCAGCATTAGAATTTATAATTAAAGTTAAAGAAACACCTGCTTCAATTGTTGATTGATTTAATCTACTTGCTAATTCATCCAATGATAATTGTATACCAATTGTTCCATATAAATAATCAGATACATCTATTTTATTATATAATTCTTTAATAATTGGATCTGATAAATCATTTGAATTTCCACTTGTTAAAATAGATTCTTTTATATTTAAATATCTATTTAATGTTATTAATGAAGATGAATTTATATTTGGTAATGTTGTAATATTATTTGATAAAGTTGATTGAAAATAGGGTATAATTCTATTTTGTGAATAAGTGGTAGATAAATATCTAGTTGGTATATTAATATAGATTGGCATTGATAATGTAATAGATGGTAATCCACTAACACTTGAAAATAGTGGACTCCATTTAACATTTGATAATGTCTTGTTAGATGTTTGATATTTTGTAAATATTGAATACCATGCTCTATTAGTTACTTCTAATGTCCAATTCTTAGATTCAATGATATTGGAAGGTGAATAAATTAAATTTGGATCTGAAATTAAATGATAATCAGTTCCCATTCTTTCTAAATTTGTAAATGTTGATGCTTTTAAAAGTACTCTAACAAAATCAACTTCAACACCAATAAAACTCTGATCAAATCTACCAAAATATAACATTTTCAAAGGTGATTTATGTACATATAATCTTTTTAAATAATAAAATATTCTAAACCATGTTATATTATTATTTAAATCAAATGGTCCACCACTTTTAATTTGATATAATAATTGATTCATTATTAATGTTGTACTTTTAACCATTTCACCAATTTCATAATCAATTACTGATTTCATTTGTAATTTTTGATTACTTCTTGATTGTACTATTAAATTATCACCTGTTGTATATAATAATATAAATGCTTTTTAAATTTAATTAAATTATTATTAAAATTATTAAAATATTATTAAAATTATTATTAAAATTATAAATATTTAAAAAAACATACATGAAAATAAACCAAATAAACCTTGTAAAATAAATAAAATTAATAAAACATTCATAATAGTAATACATTTAGATGATTTTAATAATGGTATTTTTAAATAATATTTTAATTTTTGAAATTTAGACTTTTCATTCCAAATTGAATGTAAACTATTTGTTGAAGATGATATTAAATTAGATCCATTAGTTGCTATTGATTTATCTTGTATTTCATCAACTTGTTGTTCTTGTTGTTCTTGTGCTAATGATGATAATATTTCAGAATGTTCTTGTTGTTGTTGATTATTATTATTTAATATATTATTATTATTATTATGAGTATTATAATGTTGATGATGATTTGTTGGTGACTGTTTAGAATCATACGATTGTGAATCTAATGATTCTATCATTGTTATATATTTACAATTATTACAAGACTAATTTGATGCGGAATACTATCTACTACTATTACTATTTATATTGTTGTAGTTGTAGTTGATGATGATGATGATGTTCTCTCAAGAGGATGCAGAGATTCAAGTGAGAGAGTGTGTTTGTAGTTTATTTTTCTTTGATTGGAGAATCAACAAAATGTCGCTCTAAACTAAAAAGTAATTTTGTATTACAGTTCTGAAACTATTATCAATCCAAATAAAACAATTTCAACCTGATTAATACTATTTATTATTACAACCTCTCTAGAACCAATACTATTACATTTTACAACAACTTATTCTATTATAATAATAATAAATAATAATTTAT